TTATTTATGACTAAACTACAGTCCTAACCTCAACAGGAGGAGGACAATATGTACGACTTGTTCTACATAAGACACCGTCTCCACAAAAGAGCCTATCAGCACAGAGTAAACAAAGTCATTGAACATATGTAAGTGTCTACCTTCAGATCTTAGTACTCCAAATATAAGATTGGTCTCCTTCTGATTTCCATTATTTGATCTGCGTCATGATTCACTATCTCATCAGTAATAATATGTTTGATATGAACATACAGGATTGCAGAGGCTTTTTTGAAAGCAGACGGTCACATTGAGATTGAAGGATCAGGAGGGAGGATGTTCACTCTCTCTACAGCCAAATGAGGACATGGAGGCCTACACAAAGCTCACAGGTGTGTAGATTTAAATGTGTGCTGTTAGCTCATGTTTAACATTGAAGCCAATTCAGACTTCAGAATATCAAGACATTGTTTTAAATAATGCACTACACCCAACAATCTGAAAAGGAAATTGATGTAGGCACTTGGTGGTTTGTGTTTGGTGTAAGACTACTGTTATGCTACTTTATCAATTTTTTTAATTATGCACATGTAAATGAACCAGATCATGTTAAATAAGTTGTAATGACTTATAAATTAACATGCCATGTCTTACAATTTATTGAGTGTGTTGAATTAAATTCACTAATTTTTTGTGTGTATAATTAATAATCGTTTGCTTGTTACTCTGTTACTCTTTTAGACAACGTGTTTGAGGAAATACTGAAGTCTTCCCGTCCTGAGTTACAAGAGGCAAGAGAGATTCTGCAAAACATTGTCTCTCGAAAGATCTACAAGTTTGTTGGTGAGACAAAGCCAAAGAAGACCATCAAGGATTGGAAAGTAAGTCTGTGTGTTCTTGTGTTTCATTACATTTATTACACATGATCTCATGCACCGTTATCATACAATTATAATATCGTTGTCATACAAATCTAAAACCCTCACTGAACTAATGCTGCATGATATTGGGGAAACTGCGTTTTCTTTTCATGTTCATACTATTACAATTTTTATTATTATTTGGGTCTTCACGTTTATTTTCTTTTACAAATAAGAACCCCTTATACATTCAAAGCTACATTTAATTTGCATCAAGAGCCCTGTGACATTAACTTCTAAGCAAAGAACAGTTCATCTTCATACACTGCATGTGATCCCTTCTCTCTCTCTCCCTCTACACTTTATGTGCTCATGGACTAACACACGTCCTGGGATATTACCATGGCACTTGTACAAATAGCAAAATTAATGCTTAGATCATACCATGCAGCCCTACAGTCAAATGCATTTACACTAAGTTGGTGCAGTTTTTTGAGTGAATGTGAATTGAATTCCAAGTTGCTTACATTGTCAACTTAAAATGCAAAAAACTTGAATCTATATCCTTTTCCACAATTTTTTTCTGATTCCTTGTCAAGAGCCAGATTCTGGCTGGAAAAAATTGGCTCAACCCCTCCCTGACGAGGAAGAAAACAACCTGAAACCAGAGGACTTTGAAATCCTGGTGAGTTTTTTTACTTTCTTTCATCTGACCTTTTTTGTAAAATCTTCAGTTTTGCTGATTCTTTGATTTGTAAGATGTTGCAGAGTTTGTTATGGCACACATTTTACTCTCGACCTTCTTTTTAGGTCATTAACATGGACTATGGCATGAAAGACAAGAACCTGTTGAACATATGCATTTCTACAGCAAAAGAGCCTGGCGTGGCAAAGCCAATGTCCCCAAAATGTCAGAACTAATTATTGATTAAAACATTTTTTTTCACAATCATTCAATATTTCTTCTGTCTGTTATTTGTAAGGCAGCTTATGTCACCATAACTCTCAAATTAAAGCTGCTGTCATCTTTACAGGCATCCAGGATTAGAACAGAGATCTTTTCTGAGCAGCTGATCAGGGTCTTCTGTAAGAAGATTGATGAACAGAGTGTGAGGCTGCCAGACAGCATTTGAACAGTGGTACAATGATTTTCAATCCTTTGATAATAGTTGAATATTAAGATGTTAAAGGATACAATATCGACTAACTTGCTGTTGATTGAACATAAAACCAGTTGACTTGGCTAAAGTAAACAGAAAACACTTCACATTGAGTACAGTTTATTTAATATGGTTGAACATGTGATGTACAATCTGCTGAGTGTGGAAAACATTAGCTGTGCTAGCATCCTCAGCCTTCGGTCTTCCTTTCAGGTTAACGTATGCTTACCTGTGCGTGAAGCTCTACTCTAATAGATTTGATACTTTAACTTAACAAAATACTGCCAAACTGGGCAACACTCCAACATGTTATTGGTCCTTTGTCCTGGTTTGCATCCAGGTTAGACAGCAAGTCTAGACAGTCAGTCAGGTTTCTGTACTGAAACAATTTTACTGACCTGTATTGGAACCGTGCAGGACTCTGGTTTGGGGCCCTCAGGTTAAGAGAGGTAAGCAACAGCAGCATGGGAGTGAAACCAAAAGATTAACCAACCCTCTGGTTTCTTCAACTTTCACTCAGGAGCAAAAATCAGCTTTTAGATTTGAAAATTTGAAAGTAAAAATGATTGACAATTATTGTGATAATTATATCGACTGATATGACATTTTGATAACATTTTTTTACCCAGGCCTATAAGCTACGGGTCTTATTGTGAATAACGTGTATCCTTCATGAAAAGAAAAACGGACATGTTAAAAAAAAAATCCCTCTTCATACAGTGTGTGCTGATTGAGACATGAGATAATCAGACCAATTTGGTTTTTTGAATCGGGCTGTAAACATGTTTATTTCTGCTGTAAAAATTGGCTTTTCTGAATGGGTGTGTATGTGACATATTAATATATGCAGTTAGTGGTTTTATTACATTGAAAGGCTGTTTTAATATATGAGCATTAGAATGGAACAATGAGCAGGGAGGGAATGATTGCATAGTGAAACAAAACTTCAGGATTCTTTTTTTGCATATATATGATTTTGATCTTTTTTTGATGCTAAATTAGCATTGGTGTCTTCAAACTTTTGTATTTTCCTCCAACGGACAAAAACTTTGAAATAATGTATTTTATTACTTGAGATTTAAAAAAACTGAAAGTTCTCAGCAGTGAGATGATGGATCTGCATGATGAGTACATCGTTTATCTTTAAAATAAGTTGAATGTTAGATCGTTTGTTAAATAGAATCATTTCTTCTTCAGTTTATCTCTCACTAGGTTTACTCTGAGTTTATTTGTAGGACACAGTAATCAACTGTACATCATTTGCAATGACAGAAACTGTGTGTGGAGTATGGATCACATGCTTTTGTACATTATTATTTCACCACACATTAAGTGTTGTATGCAGAAGGTGTAATTCTAAATCCCAAAGTTCATGCTGTGAGAGACTGATAATACTGTTAATGTGTTTTATTTGTGCGTGTGGTGTGTAGGGCGAGGTAGGTAAATAAATTATCCAAAGCTGAATACTCTGCCTTTTTTCTTTCTGCTGGTAGAACAGGGAGCAGCAGGAAGACCATAGAAAAAAATCACAGCTTTTAAAAAGATATGTCATATGATGAAACAATGACAAATCATGATTGTTCATATAATTTTAACACAAATGTTCACATTTATACAAGTGTTGTACAGGATGCAGGAGATATTCATTCTAAATCCCTAATGTTCATATTGTGAGAAACTGATAATTGTGGTGTGTGTGGTGTGTGTGTGTGTGTGTGTGTGTGTGCGGTAGGTAAATAAATTATGCAGCAGAAACTTTGCATGTTTGTTCTGCCGGTACAAAAAGAAGCAGCAGGAGATGAGCGAGAAACTGTTGGAATCACTAGATTCCAATAGTTTATTGGAATTAATCACATTATTATTCGCATTCTCCATTTATTTCAGAATCAGAAATACTTTAATAATCCTGGAGGGGGGGGGGGGGTGAGTGATAATGTGTTATAAAACGCCTTGAGAGGTGTCTTGCTCAAAGGCACCTCGACAGTGCTCAGGAAGTGAATTGGCGCCTCTCCAGCTACCAGACCAATCTCCAGACTTGAACCGACGACCCTCCGGTTCCACACACAAGTCCCTGCAGACTGAGCTACTGCCACCCCATAGAGCTTTTAGCAAGAATAAAACAACTTAAAACACAACCTGATCCAGGTATTTATATATTTCAGAATCTTGAAAGTATACTAATACTGATGTTGTAGTGAGGACCACACTAACCGAGACCAAGACATATGTGAGACCAGAGTGATATGAGACTGAGACAAGACCGAGACATTTAGGGATCGAGACCAAGTCAAGACCAAGACCATAAATATCACTTTTAAAATCATCATGTGTGCAGCGGGCGTGTCACTCACCACTCATCAGTAACACCAGGAAGGTTGCGGTGGTAACCAAGAGATAAAAATCAAACTACAAATGAATTGAAGTCATTTGTTCTTTTAGAAAGGAGCATCGGAGGTGGTCTTGACTGGTCTTAATCTAAAATCAGAGTCCGCCCAGTCTGAGACAGAGACAAGACAGAGTAAAAATACTTTCAAGACGAGACCTTCAAACAGTGGTCTCGAGACCGGTCTTGATTTCGATTACTACAACACTAGTGTGTACATTTGAAAAAAAGAAAGAAAAATATCTAAAATAACCAGTAAATACTCTGTTCATTGCATTGGAAAAAAACTTAATTTTGAAGTAAGCATTAAATTAAGGATTAACAATTGTACTGGAGGTTAAAATATGAATGTTGGTATCATAGAGGCTGATAAAAGCTATGTATTCCTTCCTTTGGTTGAATTATAAGTCCACCGAAGAATATCCTACAATTTGGCCCTCTGACAGTGAGAATTAAATATATGTGGCCCTTGCTGTGACCAAAGTTGCCCTTTCCTGGTCTAGATCAACACCAATGGGTTACACCATCCAATTTGCATCCCATATCTGACTTCTTTGCCACACCTGTTTAAGCCACAACCACAACTTTATAAAAGCCTGCGCTCAGGTCTGTTACTTCCTCTTCCATCCAAACCAAGCCTGACCTGCTATAGAGAACAACAAAAACCTCCATGTGAGTGTAAAATGGATCTTTCACCTTACTTCATTCTTATTTTGTTGATATATTATGAATTATTTCCAATAAAACACATGTATTAATGATAGTTTAAAAAACAATTTTAGAAACTTACTTAATTATTCTGATTGGTTTGACATTATTTATCAAGATCTGTAATATTTCCTATTTGTCATCAGCTAAAATCATTCACAACATCTACAAAGAGGATCAACTTTTGAAACAGCATCAGATCCTGTGTACGAACATGTGAACTCCAGTTTGCGTTCCTTTGTCCTTACGTTAGGTTCATTTGCTTTATGTTGATTTGTGTTTTTTTACGACTGATTTGTGAATTTGTGAATATGTCAAAATAAGTAGCCTAAAAAAGTACCAGATATTACAGTTTTAGTACATCATTGACTTTTAAAAAAATCAATAGTTATACTAACATGAGATTACAATTTGTCATTTAAGTTTGATCTGTGTTGCTGCACGGAGAATCAGTTTGACTTTGACATCCTTCTTTCAGTTTAAAACAAAACTTAAACCTCAGCAGAAATTAGATGATAAAAAAATGATATTTATAAGCCCTATAAAGATACCTGACCTGGGAATAAAGTCATATCTTTGTGATGAAATTAAGAAAACCAACTCTTTATGGAAGTAAGATAACAAAGTGAGATATGTTAACATAGATATTATCTTCAAACAACTTTCTATGTCTGCAATCAGAAGTAATCTCACAAGAAAAAGTAGGAGATGTCACATTGATAAAAACACATCTGCAATGTGCTCATTCTGGATGTTACTGGAGGTCATATATTATAGTCTCATCTTTTATTTTTGGATAGAATGATGACAGACAGATGTTCACCTCCTTTACATGCTTCTGGATACATCATGAGGCTGAACATCTTTGTCATCATAGAATGAGAAAATCTTTTACAGTCTGAGGGTTTCTTACGTTTCCTTTCTGAAAGTTATGAAAAAAGCAACACAAAAAAGATTAGTACCTGTTTAAAATTTCTCCGGCAGAGCATTCTTCAAATGGTCAGGGCACACTTTACCATAGAGAGTTCAGCAACATTCCCATCTTGTGGCCATTTGATGTAATTGCAGTCCTCAAATGGAGTACACTATAAATCTCTGTCTAAAGAGCAGGTTAAACATGCAACATTCACGCTACCTCTAAATGTTTCTTCAGAAGTAACTTCTAATACTGATTTATTTCTAACATCCTGTCATTTCTTCACTTCTTTATACGTTTAGATTTGTTAATTTGACTTAAGAAATTCTGATGCACTTTCAGTTTTGTTTTCTGAAATGTTTGGTATATCAATAAAAGAAGAGGATCATTATGAGGGTAAAGACCAATAACATGGGTGTGGTGGAGATATAAATGTCAGATGTTTTAAAACCCTGAGCGTCATAAAAAAAAAGCCTTAAACAGCTATGGCTATATAAATGACATTTGCCACTTGTCAGATCAGCATCAGAAACATTAGCTTGATGTAAATGCAACATCTTACGGCTTCAAAACATTAAAAACTATATAGATAGATTTGGTCTTTAAGTCACAGGTAGCTGAGGAAATGAGTTGGTACAAAAAGAAGGACGATTGGAGGAAAATTTAGAGGTCGGTTTTCTAGTTACAGTCGACTAAATTCATGGTTTGTTTTCTGGTTTGGTAAGTTGTATGCATGGTTATTTTAAACTCATGGTTTAACTTGACAATGTTGCATTTTAGCTTGTGTAAAACTGAGGTTACTTAATAAATGACTGATGACTAACTTCTTGCTCTTTTATCTAGAACAAGTCGGGGCAAAATGGGAAATAAGTGAGTACCTCTGTCTTTGTTAAACCAGTTTAAAATATCTCAATATTATAAAGAAATCATTTTAAGTTGGAAGTTTCAGCACTTGTTCATACTGTTAATGCTTTTTTTTTCTAAATTTTACAGACTGATCACCAAGGTAAAATACTTCACGTCTTACCACACATCACACCACATTTTTGCGGCTGGAGAGATAAGAGAGAATAAACAGAACAAACAATGACGACTTGTAGAATAAACCGCACACAAACACACCTCCACAAAGTTAAGCCTGTGTCCATGTATTATCCATTATCAGTCTAAATTAAAAATCTAATTAACTGGGAGGACTTTGTTCTCTAGATGCTTATTATCCACACCAGTGGTGAGGACAGCTAGCTTTGTGCACCTTTACTATCCAAACCAACCCTCTTTGTTCTCCTTTCCTTTAATCCTAAAAAAAAGGAAGAGGAACACAGACTGTAGGCTATTGAAATAGGACATTTTCAGTGTCCAATGTTTTGTTCTCTTTGTTCTACTAGATGCTGAATATCCCCACCAGTGGTGAGGACAGCTAGCTTTGTTCACCTTTTCTATCCAAATCAACCCTCTTTGTTCTCCTTTCCTTCAATACTTAAAAAAAAGGAATAGGAAGACACGCTTTCTATTGAAAGGACATTTTCAGTGTCCAATGTTTTGTTCTCTTTGTTCTACTAGATGTTTAATATCCCAACCAGTGGTAAAGTCAAAAAAACGTTCTTTGTAGCATCAGCTTTATTCTTGGGCTCATTTCATGCTTATGCTATACCTCCCAGAGCCCTCAGGCAATCTTGAGCTGGTCTTCATGGTGTTGTTTTGTTTTTGGCATTTCATTGTTCTTAGCTTTCGTTTGTTTGTTTTCTGCCAGGTGTTTAATGATCCCATCCATGGTAGCATAGAGTTACACCCACTCCTCATCAAGATCATTGACACACCTCAGTTCCAGAGACTTCGATTCATAAAGCAGCTTGGAGGTGTCTACTTTGTTTACCCTGGAGCGTCTCACAACCGCTTTGAACACTCGATCGGGTAAGTCAGCAAGTTTTCAGATTTCAGCCCACAGGTGACCTCAGTCCAAATAAGGAGAAGACTCATGGTGGTTTTCACATAAGCACCTTGTAAAACCAATAAAGGCAGAAAACAGTGCCTGTCTTAGTATGGATCGAATAAAAAATATATATATAATAAATTGTGATAACTGCGTTATAATTTAAAAAATGTTTTCTGTGGTCTAAAAAGGGTGGGATACTTAGCAGGAAAACTTGCTGAGGCTCTCAGGTCAAGGCAGCCGGAACTCAACATCACTGACAGAGACGTCCTTTGTGTTCAGATTGCTGGCCTCTGTCATGACCTGGGTGAGTAATGCATCCCTTTTCAATATTACATATAATAGTTTATAAATTATGTTATTGGGTATGAAAAGAGTAAAATGAAAGTGAAATGATCCAGAAATAACCCTTCCATCTTTCAAAAAAGCAAGGGCTTCTGCATTAATAAATAAAAAATACGAGGGTGGGTGAGGTGGTGGTAGCTCGGTCTGTAAAGGGACTCTGATAAGAACTGGAGGGTCTGAATCTTTAAAAATAATATTTAGACTCAGAAAAAAATGTTTAACCCAGAGGGCATTTCGGTTTCCACAGTCCAACCAGACCATGCATACATTTACAAACACATAACAGTCTTTCTTGTAAGCAATATTCTCAAGTTTAGATTCAGGAGTAATCCATCCTCAACTCAAACAGGTTTATTAAGACATACTGACTGTATAATCTGTACACTATCAGTGGATTACGCCTGTATTTATCTATCCATTTCAAGGTCATGGACCCTTTTCCCATCTGTATGATGGACTGTTCCTCCCCAAAGCACTGGAAAAAAAGAGGAAATTAAAGAAATGGAAGGTAAAAAGTTTTTATTTCTGTTGTAATATAACAAATGAAATACAGAGGAACGGCAAAACTGAAGCACATGTACCTTTCACACTGGCTTGTTCTTTTGAAACAAAATCCAGGATGTTCTTTTTTGTTTGCTTTTTCAGGTGTAATGGGATTATGCACATTTCCAAGAATGTTGATCTATTTCTTTAATAACAATGAACTTTGTAGCTTGTGTTGCTAAATGACCCATATCCTGTTCTCTTTGGTAATAATATGTCAACTTTTTATCTGACATGTTACCGCTTTCAGAAGCTCCATGAGATTTTAATAATGTTTCTGTTTTAACCATTAATCCTGGTGATTCAGAGATTTAGATACAACAAACAAAGATCATAATTGAATTCATGGTTCATGAGAGGTAATTCTTTATGACAGGGACTCTTTTAAAAGCAGAAGGGATTTCTAGATCTGTTTATGTCTCTTTGTCACTCAATAAGAGAAGATAACCTTTATTCATCCTACAACAGGCAGCAAAGAGCAAGGATAGCCAAAAAAGAGTACACAGTGCACCATTCAATAACTTTAGATCAAAAGAGTGCGATTGTTGTGTTTACATCCAAACAAACCGGGCTAAAGGGGAAACGCCCCTTTGTTTCAGAACAACTTTTCCAAAATATCCAGGTGTGAAAAAACGTTCGGTGAGAAAACTGAGCTGCATTATCACCTTCCCAAAAACTCTTATGCTTAACAGTTTGACATCGGGTTGAGTTCAGCTAGCTAAATAACCCTGATAAAGACTGTTAGGATGTTGTATACAGTATATTGGCTGACATTAAGTGGCTCATCAAATTCTGAAGAGCTTTAGGAACTCTGACATTGTAAGTTGTTTTACATACTGTACGTTTGAGATATACTCTTCAAATGTGGGGCAAATTAAAGTATGTGGGATTATTATATCTATGTTTTAAATCTTGTGTTGACACATTTATGAGTCTGTGTGTCTCGCAGCATGAAAGGGCTCTCGTCTCATGCTAGACCACCTGGTGAACAGAATAATTTAAACCAACGATGAAAAAGTATGGACTGAAACCTGAAGAAGACATAACATTCATTAAGGAGATGATTGCTGGACCTCTACAGGAATCTAAAGAGCAGGAGGCAAGTTCACCTCATTATGTTATTCAGAAGTCGGATAAGATACTGTATGAATATAAGATAAGAGAAGATAAAACTTTATTCATCCTACAACGGGCAGCAAAGAGCAAAGATAGCCAAAAAGAGCACACAGTGCACCATTCAATAAAAAATAGATCAAAAAAGTTGAGCAGCTAAAAGAGTGTGATTGCTGTGTTCACATATTTATCAAACAAACCGGGCTATGGTTTCAGAACAACTTTTCCAAACTATCCAGGTGTGAAAAAATCCTTAGAGAGAAAACTGAGCTGCAGTATCACCTTCCCAAAAACTCTTATGCTTAACAGTTTGACTCTGGGTTGAGTTCAGCTAGCTAAATAACCCTGATAAAGACTGTTAGGATGTTGTATACAGTATATGTCCACAGAAGATTGGCTGACATTAAGTCACTCATCGAATTCTGAGAACTCTGACATTTAAAGTGTTTCTTCATACACACGTTTTGAGATCTACTCTGCAAATGTTGGTTGTGCTATTTGTGTAGTTCCTTGTCTTCTTGCAATATTTTTCATGATTTGATGAAAGCGAAGCATGGATTGAACCCTGAACATGTGACAAAACATTAAGGTGATGATTGCTGAAGACCAGAAGTTCTCATCTGTGCATAAATCAGTCTGTGTCCTACACTAATGTCACTATTTTGTAACATTCAGTATAAAGGCGGACAAGAAGAGTCCTTTTTGTTTTAAACGTTAAAAAAAAAGTTTTTCTTCTGCCGAGAACTCAGATCTTAAAATTGAACAGTTGTTTTGTTTGTCATGCTTTTTCATGTACATAGTTTATTGTGTTCATATTTTAGCTTTATCTCTGTTTTGTGGAATGGTCCTACATATTTTTTCTATGCAGTGTAAATTCATTGACAACAACATACGTGTCAATAAAACTGGTCCTGATTCGCTTTGTGTCGTCATCCCTGCAGTGGCCGTACAAAGGGCGCTCAAAAGAAAAGTCCTTCCTCTACGAAATTGTGTCCAACAAAAAAAACGGCGTTGATGTGGACAAGTTTGACTACTTGGCCAGGTCAGGTTTTAATGAAGTGCTGTAGAGCAATTCATTTTGTGATGAAGACCACTACAGCACTTCTTTTTTTTTTACCGTGAACAATGCATTATTCTCCTGATTATTTTAAATTATAGGCTACAAAACTCTCCAGTAAATTCAGTTTCCCTCTATACACCTATTTTCTTCACCTTGCCTCAATCTGCCTCTACTCAGGGACTCTTCCTACCTGGGGATCATGAACAACTTTGACTTTCGTCGCTTCCTGCAGTTTGCCAGAGTGTGTGAGGTTGAAGACAAAGACTGCAAAGAAGGAAAAAGGAAAACTATCTGCACCAGAGACAAGGTGCTGACACACTTGAGCTTGTAAAGAGATAATTTAAAGCAAACTGATAATGTTGTTATTTATGACTAAACTACAGTCCTAACCTCAACAGAAGGAAGACCATATGTACACTTGTTCTATATAAGACACTGTCTCCACAAAAGAGCCTGTCAGCAAAGTAACCAAATCATACAAGAAATGTAAGTGTCTACCTTCAGAAGTTATTACTCCAAATATAAGATTGGTCTCCTTCTGATTTCCATTATTTGATCTGCATCATGATTCACTATCTCATCAGTAATAATATGTTTGATATGAACATACAGGATTGCAGAGGCTTTTTTGAAAGCAGACGGTCACATTCAGATTGAAGGATCAGGAGGGAGGATGTTCACTCTCTCTACAGCCAATGAGGACATGGAGGCCTACACAAAGCTCACAGGTGTGTAGATTTAAATGTGTGCTGTTAGCTCATGTTTAACATTGAAGCCAATTCAGACTACAGGAGTATCAAGACATTGTTTAAATAATGCACTACACCCAACAATCTGAAAAGGAAATTGTGTGTAGGCACTTGGTCGTTTTGATGTTTGGCCAAGGACAAGGTTATCTGGTAGTTTGAGGAGTTCACAAATCCAGTCTCAAACATCCTGAACAACTGGCTGTCCTGATCATTTGAACTTGTTTGATATTTAGGATGTTTATTTATGAAGTAACAGAAATATGACATATTTCAACACTTTTTGGAAACACACTTTGTTAGATGCTGCTTTCTGTCAGATGGCTCTGTTGCTAGGTCATTTACAGTTATGCTACTTTATCCATTTTTTTTATCGTGCATTTGTTAAAGATAAATAAACCACATCCTGTTAATTTACTTGTGATGACTTATAAATGAACATGCCATGTCTTACAATTTATTGCGTGTGTTTAAATTAAATTCACTAATTTTTGTGTGTGTTATTATCATTTGTTTGCTTGTTACTCTGTTACTCTTTTAGACAACGTGTTTGAGGAAATACTGAAGTCTTCCTGCTCAGAGCTAAAAAGGCAAGAGAGATTCTGCAAAACATCATCTCTCGAAAGATCTACAAGTTTGTTGGTGAGAGAAAGCCAAAGGACCCCATCCAGGATTGGGAAGTAAGTCTGTGTTCTTGTGTTTCATTACATTTATAACACATGATCTAATGCACCTGTTATCACAAAGCTGGATAATGTGCTCATTTTCAGTTAATAGAATAAGTACACATCACATTATTTACTGTCTCCAGCATTTTATCTTGCCCGTGTTGTTATTACATTTAACATGAACAGCAACACTATTGAACAGTTCTCTTTTTGAAATGCAATGTGAATTGGATAGCAGCTTGAAATGTCTTACAATACAAAATCCCTCAGTCAACTAATGCTGCATGATATTGGGGAAACTGCGATAACCTTTGAGGTTCATACAATTACAATTTGTATTATCATTTGGGCCTTCAATTCTATTTTCTTTTTCAAATAAGAACCCCTTATATGTTCAAAGTGACTTTTAATTTGCATCAAGAGCCCTGTGACAGTAAAGAACAGTTCATCGTCACACACTGCATGTGATCCCTTTAACTCTACATCTTATGTGCACATAGACTCTGCCTGCACAGAAGTCACTTCTCTTTGTGATCAGGAAGAGGATCAGACAGACTGATATTGTAGATCAGTCATGGAAAGAGAGAAACTGAAGGCTTTTTGTTTATTCAAAAGCAAAAACAACAAAAAATGGCATGAAATGATGCATTTCAGGACATATGATTGATATTATATATTCTGTAATGTTATCATAGCACTTGTACACATAGCAAAAATGATGCTTAAATCATACCATGCAGCCCTACAGTCAAAAATATCTACACTAAGTTGGTGCAGTTTTTTGAGTGAATGTGAAATGAATTCCAAGTTGCTTACATTGTCAACTTAAAATGCAAAAAACCTTTTCTATCCTTTCGCACTGTTCTCAACTTTTCTGCTCCATTTTCAAGAGCCTGATTCCTAGCTGGAAAAAAGGACTGGCTGAGGGAGAAAGAAACCTGACACCAAAGGACTTTGAAATCCTGGTGAGTTTTTTGACTTTCTTTCATTTCACCTTTTTGTAAAATCTTGGGTTTTGCAGATTTTTTGATTTGTAAGATGTTGCAAAATTTGTTACTGCAGACATACTTTTACTCTCAACCTTCATTTTAGGTCATTGAAATGGACTATGGCATGGACGACAAGGACCCTATCCAACATGTTCATTTCTACAGCAAATCTGAGCTTGACAAGGCAAAGCTAATGCCCGAAGAAAAGGTAAGAACTAAATATTGATTAAAACATTTTTTATCGCAATATTTCTTCTGTTTATTGGGCTCCATTGTTTACACCCGTGAACAGCTGGTTGCGCTGTGCCAGCCTCGGTTACATCCAGCCGAAAGACCGGACATCCCCGCAGAACTACGGAGGAAGAGAAGGGGATGCAGAGCCGGAGTGAAGTGCCGGGAAAAGAAAAGACGGTACAAACCATCCGTGCCGTCTTTAATTATGGGGAATGTAAGATCTCTCCCTAATAAGATGGAGGAGCTGACGGCGCTCACCCGGCTTCAGAGGGAGTACCGAGAGTGTAGCATCATGCAGTTCACGGAGACATGGCTGAATGAACTCACTCCGGACACGCTCGTAACTTTGGACGGCTTCCAACTCGTCAGAGCG